ATATTCCTGGCTGAAGTGTTTTCCAGAGTTTTTGTTTATTTTTTGTTTGTGTTGATTATTTGTATTTTTTGAAAACAATTAATTTTTCAAATTCATTTTTTGCTACTTTTATTACGAAGTTAATATCTTTCTTGCTTTCTTGTGATATGACGGCAGAATTGTTGTTAAAAGTCAATTCATTTATATTTATATTCTCTTTAGGGTTGGGTAGTGCCTATAGTTAAAAATATAAAAGTTAAGTTAAAAAGTTAAAAAGTGAAATAATTTTAACTTAACTTAGTTACATTTTAGATTCTTAACTTTTAATTTAATTAAGTTACATTTTATCGGTAACTATTAACTTTTGATCTAACATTTTTAAAGTTACATTTTTAGTGCTTGTAAACCCGAAATAAAATACATATCTGCGTTGATCTTCAAACTCAAATTTGAGAAAGCACATCAACGCAATTGTTATAATATAATAAAGTCTGGCTGCGGAAAGGAATCACCGTTCGCGGACTGTTAACTTTAATTTAACTTGGTTAAAAAGATATTAACTTACCCAATCCTGATTCTCTGCAGTACGACAGATAAGTAAATCCCGTATGCCATTTACATTGCCCATGACCATCTTATACAGTGAGGTTGGTATTAATTTATTTTCCAAAGAAGTCGTTATATCACACCACACAGTATCATATTTTGATATTATTTTATTTGATATTATAATACGTTCTTTATATACCATAATAGTATTTACAAAATCATCACTTGAGGCTTTACGTGGACGTCTTTTATTATGTTGCATCTTTTACAACAAACTACGAATAACAAATATAATAAAAATCAGATGAATTAAACGAGCAATTTAAAATACTAGATGTTGTGGTAATCACATCAGCGCTTTGTGTAGTGTCTGGTGACTCTTTTTCGCGACACTGATTAGTCGCTGATTTCTCTGACAAACGCCTACCATCGCCAAGATTATCTATTCCAGTCGTCTCAGATTGTGAGGGGTTAATCACAGTGTAATAATGTTGTACTACAATTTCTATTTTTAGGTTTATATATATATGGATGTCAAATAAGTTCCTGTACAAGTTTTATTACATGGCACGTGCAATCCTAACTTGAAATCCTGATTTAGATGTTCTTATTCTACAAAGCTGATTCTACAAA